CTTATGCTCTCTTACATGATGTACATACCAGCAGAATGATAGAACATGATCGAGATTTATCACACAATTAAAAGTTAATATTGGCCTAGGATAAACATGTTCAAGTGTATATTGTGACATATACACTGTAGGTACATAATTGATATTGCAGCTTAAAGGGGGAAGTCCACCCTGATATTCAGTTGGTTTTCATAGAAGCAGAAAAATGAGAGAAACAGGTCAGTGAAAATTTGAGCAAAACCAATTTAAAATAAGAAAGTTATAAATTATTACAAAGTTGATATACAGTAGGCTTGCGGGTGCACCATGTGAGAGAGAGAGAGAGAGGATTGAGGAGTACTGAAAAGGACTCTCTGTAATTCTTGAGGATGTGTAGTCCTGAAAAGGACATCACCATGCAAGCCGACACTTACAAGCAGCATACAAAGTTGATGTATTGAAGTCATTGGTCAATGAAGAAAAAGTTACTGGTACTTATTTTAATTTTTATTTTGAGATGGATAATAAAAAAATCATTTTATAACAACCAAAGATATTACCAAAGAAAAATAGAAGATTACTTGTGTATATCAATGGCACTTAAAAACAAGTAATGCATGTTTGTACATGTCACCGAGTAGTATAGAATAAGGGAGAAAAACAAAGTATCAATTGCTGCAGAAAAAGTTACATCTTGGAATTGACACGTATAATTTGATTTGTCTTTCAAATTAAAGTTATGTCATATTCTGTAAACTAATATCTGCATGTACAGTATGCTATCATAATAACTGCATAAGCTTGAACCATTGTTTATTAAACCTCTACCCTAGCACATTACATTTTGAAGTCGGTACAGTATCCACCTCAAGACAAACGTTACATTGCGAGAAGCACACATTTGGATAAGATCAGGTGACTGGTGGGGATGCCTCTCTTCTCGGATCATGTGACACTGTCTTTCTTTTAAGATTTCTTGAGAGATGCTCGGGTGATGAAGTGCACGTGTACATTACATTCCGAGACGTGACATTATCTCATGGATTGTATGGTTAGTAGCCTGGCTTTCAGGATGGAACAAATTGTTTTCACCTTGTATCGAAAATGAATTGAAAAGAAATCAATGTTTTTGTCTCCTGAGCAATTCATATCATTTTGAGTATAGCATTTATATGAATTTTGTACAGAAAAAAATGCTCTTTGTATATGTTTACTGGAAGAATATTTTTTTCTACCATTGGATTTGGAAAGGAATTACAGATGGGTCCCCAAATATTATTAGTTGCTGGCCTATGTCCTATGGGGTGCTAAAAGAAACTCAATGCACAATGTACAGTACATGTTCATGTAGGTTTACCAATTGACTTTGCCTATGAATGATTTCATTTGCCAAATGCAAAAGATCAATACGAAATGTATTTTGTAATTGTAACAGAATTTTATTATTTTATGATAAAATTGATAGATTCTCCCAACTGTTACACCTAGGTGGCCCAATCATTATTATCAATGATTTTTACTTTCAGTTGTCATGGGAATCTATGCCCAACTTCATGATTGCAAAACTTTGAAAGAGAGATATACTCTTATATACCATGTGAGAGAGAGGGAGGATTGAGAAGTCCTGAAAAGGGCTCTCGGTAATCTTTCTTGAGGGTTTTTCGTGGTCCTGAAAAGGACTGTGGGTATAGTTTTGAAAAAGACTGTTGATAAACTCCTGTTTAGAAAGAACTGTACAATGTATATATTAATTAAATGTTAGAGCTGCATGTAATGTATGTACACTTAGGTATAATGTGCCATTAGGCCTAAACAAAAAAGATGTTGTATTGCCCTTTAGGTGCCAAAACATGGGTCTTGGGCTGATATTTCTCAATGCTATAATACATTTTTTTTTCTCTAAAAAACAGTACTTTTTTTTTTTTTTTAAAGCCCACTGTAGATTTCAAGATTTTTGGGTCGGTCCCGAAGGGCAATACAACATCTTTTATTTTTAGGCCTTATAGGAAAGTTGTTATGGTATCAATCTGAAGGAAATCTGAGAAAAAATTCTCTCTCCTTGGTCCCTCACATACATGCACATACAGTATGTAGAATGATATGTCTATTTGATCGCAAACGAGGCTACTGTGCAGACCAAGCAGGAGGCGTGTTGGGTACGAAAGGTTATCATTTTTTATTGCGATAGTGTCTTTGAGAGGAGATGAGATGAGCTTCCGTAGATTTCAACATCCCGGTTGTGATGATAGTAGGACTGAGATGCATGAAGCCTTGCTTGTTTGATGTCTTTTCTCCCCAAATTTCTCGCGCCTCATCGGCTTCAGCGTGAGATGCGATCACAGGGGTGATGGGAGCGCCAGAGCAAACAGATATTCACAAATGTGCATGGATGCTGATGCTAACCCATGAGCTGTAGGAATATAGGTACAGGAGATGTAGTTAGATGGAAGATGTGGAAAGAAGAAAGAGGGTAGAGAAAAAAGAAATAGAGGGAGAATGAGGGAGGTTGGTACTGGGTAAGAAAGAGAGGGTAAGGGGAGGGGGAGGGGAGGGGAGGGGGAGGGGGAGGGGAGGGGAGGGGAGGGGAGGGGAGTAGAGTGGGAGAGAGAGGGAGGAAGAGAGAGAAACAAGCAGAAAAGTGACTAGATGGAAGATGTGGAAAGAAGAAAGAAGGTAGAGAAAAGAGAAATAGAGGGAGAGTGCATAAGAGAGGTTGGTACTGGGCGAGGGGGGGGGGGGGGGGGGGGGAGGCAAAGGGAGAAGGGAGGGGGGGGGGGGTGGAGAGAGAGAAGCAAGTGGATTGAAGATGTGGAAATAAGAAAAGAATGTATAAAGAAAAGAGAAGGAGGGAGGGAGGTTGGAACTGGATGAGAGAGAAGGAGAGAGGGAGAGAGAGAGAGATAGAGAAGCAGAAAAATAAGATGAGAGAGAGAGATATGGAAGAGGGGGGGGGGGGGGTGGATGCAATTTTGGCCCATTGCACTTTGTAGTTCCTGTATAAAACCTATGGGAATGAGATTATTCAGTAGCCAAGTAACAAAAGATTGAGAAAAGCAAGAGGCAGGCGATTTCGAGACCCTTCAAAAGGAGAAAAGAGTGATATATGTGAAGATAGTGAAAAAAGACCCCCAAAACAAACAAAAAACAATAGATACCAAGAGGGAGACTAATGAGATGAAGCCAAAAGATAACCACAGAGTGAAGAAAGAAAATAGATATGAGAGATGAATACATGAATAAAAATGAAAGAGATAAAGAAGAGAAAAGATATGAGGCAGTGATAACAGACAAGAAAACAGAGAAATGACGAAGTGGGAGAAGAAATTTGTCTAAATTGGAATGTGAGCATAAAAAAAACCTCAAGTTCTGAATACGAGTGCCCTATTTGATTGAGAGATGAACGTGATCATGAGAATTGGTGGTCTATTAGATTATCTCCTCAGGCATCTCTCATATCTTCCACCTTTGTGAACCAGATGTTCACTTGGTTTACTGCGCTTGAAGCTTCTTACACTGTAAAATCAGGGCCCTGTATGATCAATCGCAAATAAGTTGTTTTTTATATCAACTCTTTATAAAAAAACTCTCTGTATCCTTTAATTGTGTTTGCTATCCTGATGGTACACTGTATATAATGTATCTTTGAAAAGGAACAGAACGAGAAGTCTGTCTACTGGAACACTGACTGTTCACTACATTTTTGCAGAAGTAACATTACCGGTAATTTGTCTATAAGAATTCTTAAGTGGGAACTGATGTGCTAATCATTTGAAGCTTTTACATGTACACCATCTGTTAAGAGGCTGAAGGACATATATTAAATCCATGTTTTTCAACCTTAGTTTTTTTGGTAGTAATGGCACCCTTTTAAGAAATAAAAAGTTTCACCTCACTCCAATCCCAAATTTATTACAGAAGATACTTTTTGCATCACTCTGGCACTCAATATACCTACAGGCAAGAAGAAAATGTTGATATGGAAGAAATGTAATCGAAAAACACTAGATAGTAGATATATTTAATATATAAATCATGTATGCAGGCATCTTGCTGCCGAATACATGAATACAAAATTCATTCGTTAAATCATCTTGATTCACGAATATGAGGAAGTTAGTTGCCCTGAATGATCCTGTTTTTAAATGTTTCAAGGGAGTGAAGCAAATGAGGGTTGTATAATTGTAATTCCGATTTTAAAAAAATAAGAAGATACGGTATACCCGGGCACCTCGCTGCCCCTACAGTGTGTATGACAATGTTCTGGCACCTGGCTGTTGAATAAAAGAATATTGGGGTACCTCCAAATATGAAGGTATTCAGTCATTTTGCTGCCTGAAATCATCCTGTTTCTAAATGTTATGAGTGAGGGAAGCGAGCAAGAAAGAAACCCATTTGATCATCTTTAAGATGTTATCTCTTCATGAAAATCCATAGAGGTTTCTACAATATTGTTTTCATGAAATTGACGTTATTCCAAAGTAAAGTTTTTGATATTACTAGATTTCTCTTGTGACACTCCTAGAGATATCTTGCGGCATCCCGGTTAAAAAACGCTGTATTAAAGTTTATGTGTTACTACCCTTCTGTTTCTCATGAAAATGAGCAAATGGAAGCAAAGTTTGTCTAAAGAAGGAAGCTACAATGTTTTTCTAAACAGTGAAACTGCAATGTTTCTCTAAAAAATGAAAGTACAATGTTTTCCTAAAAAAATGAAACTACAATGTTATATCAGGGTTCGACTCAGGCAAGTGCCCAGGTTACACGGGCGCCCAAAATCGAAGTCTGGACCCCCTGAATTTTGAAATATTTATATAGGGCTTATGCATACAAGCTCTTCAAAGTTCACTCTAGAACCGCTTCCAAAAAGCAGGTGTGGAGTCTTTGTTCTATAGAATAACATGTATAGTCTGCACAGAAAAGATGATCTTTTTCAGCACCCCTTCTGTGCCCCTTCCCCCTTTGTATTTCATGATGAATTTTCTAATTTGGGCTGTCCTTATTCTTTGATCCCTTTTCTACAGGAGGCCCTACTTGCTCTGGGAGCAGCAAACAGCCTTTCTGAAGCGGAAGTTGCAATACGGGAGACCTATGGCTGCTGTTTCACCGATGTGGTAAGAATTATATTGAGGCTACTTGTAATATGTACAGTTTAAGAAAACTTTTACGAACCCTGGCGAAACCCCAGATTCGCTACATTCGCCACTCCGTGAGATACCCTCTTAAGAGACAACCGCCATTGCTATTGTTATGAAAACATTTTTTTTTCATAACCTCCAATGTCACCTGATACTAAAGAACTGCAAGAAAGCTTAGACAGTCATTTGAGAGGAAACTGATCCTAAGGGAACTCCTGCATGTAGGGTATGTTTCATGTTTTAGTCTTTCTTGTGCAGGTAGCTAGTCTTTCAGTAATTTACTGGAAAGTATGGAAAGACTTCATGATTCTCATATGGAAAGTGAGAGAGAGAGAGGGGAGGAGGAGACACACAGACACACAGACAAACAGAGAAAGAAAGAGAGAGAGAGAGAGAGAGAGAGAGAAAGAGGAAGAAAAAGAGAGTAAGAGGGGGGGGGGGGGGGGGTTATTGAGTGAAATTGCCTTTCTAAATTCATTTGTTTTAGCCAAAAGAGTGTTAACTCCTACACATCTACTTTACCAACTTTGTCACAAGGTTAACGCCCTTCTGGCTCCAAACAGACGACATGTAGTTTAAAAGTTTAGTAACAAATTATTTAAACTTTAGAAATAACTGAGGTGTAACGAACCACTTAACATGGCATGGAGAAAGAAATGAAAAACACAGTGGCTGTACAATTGTAATAGAATTATGAAGGCAGACTGCTGGGAGGGAATATTTGTGTCTCTGCGACATGTGTAAGAGAGATTCCCCGCTGTGATAAATAGTGATTAGTATTCAAATTGCTAGGGATCTGATAGCCGAGTAATGTAGGGTTGTCGGCCCTGCCCGGTTGCTTGGGAGATGGTCTGTGTAGTGATTTGATTTACTCTGGGCTGGAATCAACCACAAAAGAATACTGACCACTAATTATATGAAATGGATGGACAGTCTCCTTCTAAAGGGAATTCAATGATTACAAATTATGATTTTTTTTTTTTAAACCCAGAGTTTAAGAGATGGAATACAGAGGAAAAGGGTATTATGAGAGTGAGAAGAGAAGGAGAGGGAGAAGAGAAGGACAGGGAGGAGAGAAGGAGCAGGAGATGGAAAGAAAAGGGAAAAGAGAAGGAGAATGATAAGGGAAGAAAAAGGAGAAGAGAAGAAGAGGGAGATAGAAAGTAAAAGAAAAAGAAGAAGACCAAGAAGGAAAGAAAGGGAGGGAAAGTAAAAAGAGAAGGAGAGGGAAAAGAGAACAGGAAAGGAGGAGAAGTGAAGAGAGAGAAATGGGGAGAGGAAAGAAAGGAGAGAAGTGAAGGAGAGGGAGATGGAAAGTAAAGGAAAAAGAGAAGGAGAACAAGAAAGGAAGAAAAGGAGAAGGGAGGGAGAGTAAGAAGAGAATGAGAAGATAAAGAGAAAAGGTAAGGAGGGGGAAGTGAAGAGATGGAGAGAGAGAGAAAGAGAGAGAGAGAGAGAGAGAGAGAGAGAGAGAGGAAAAAAAGAGAGGAGGGAAGGAGAGGAAAAAGTGGAAAAGAGGTAGAAAGGAAGGAAAGTGAGAAGAAAAAGGAAAAAGGTAAAGAGAAGAAGAAGTTCCAACTGAAATATTGCTATTTAAAAAAAAAAGAGTTTGGATGGTAGCATTATAATCTATGGTAGATGTGGACAGAACAAAGTTAAGCAAATCGGTATATAATCTCTTTGAAAGATAAAGACAAGGATGACTGAAGTGGGCAAGTCTAGAAGCATACACTAAAGGCTTTTTCCTATATAAATTAACTCAAATACTTCAATAAAATCTCAAGACTTTTCTTGTCCGAGGGATCTCACATACGAGATTGAATACCTCTACAACTACAATGTGCTGTTAAAAGAAGAGAGATAGAATATACCTGAAAAGAAGTAAATATTGCAAACTAATACAGCGTGATAGCTCATACTGAGGTGATGTCAATGTTTTCAGAGTGTTTACTAGTAGAGAAAGCATATCCTATGTGTGAGGAGCAAGAAGGGCATTAAAACCTAAACTTCGACATAGACTTATACTGCCCTTTTGCCTGTCACCTGACAATCGAAAGATTAGCGTGGGTAGTGGTGGTTTCTACATTATTATATTCACATGAATGCTCATTGAATCCCCCAAACCATCTGTATTAAACACGATTCACGTTGCTATGAGATGATGTTTTTATTCATATGTTTGTGCTCAGTATATGTATGTAATGAAGTGGACATTTACAAACCACAAAATAGTGTTTCTCCAGATGGCCTTTCTAAGGAAAACATTAAAAACTGTAGGATTTGGAGAGGATTGCAAGGAGAAAATGCATATCCATGCTTTGTTGATACTAAAATGCAAGTCTCTTTAAAACATCATTTTGCACTTGATTTGGTAACATAACAAACAAAAAATACTAAAAAGTATTGTCTGACATTTAAAGAAAAAGTTGAGTTCTGGTCATGCGATTGCATTGTGAAAGAAAACAGTAACAGTGTGGAATCGATCAGAAAAGGTTGATCATCTAGCATATACTGTAAGTATTAGTGTTTAGTGCCATATTTATAATATTAAGGCGTTTGAAGAGCCATGCTTTTCAAGGAACATTTTGTATCTGATGTTCTTCGGGCCGGCCAAGGAAAAAATTAATATTTATTTTTCGGGGGCTACTTTTCAAGCTTGCCTGCATGAAAATAACATTCTAAAATTTGTTTTGCATTGAACTCTATGCAAATTTACAGGGGCTCTTTTCTGATTTTCGGGGGCTCTTTTAGGCATTTCGGGGGCTAATTCGCCCTGAGCCCCCGTGTATTTTTTTTCACTGGTTCTTCCACATATGGATAATAACAATGATAACGCTCACAAATTATTTTTCACCTCTTCCCACAACCCACATGAATAAGCAAATATACATAAAAAAGGATAAATTGTCAAATTATCATATCTGCCATTGTAAGCAAATTTCTTGAAAATATGACAGCCCAAAACAAACCTTATGAAATGGATGAACAAATTTATTAAGCAGAATGGACAAATATTTGAAAGTGTCTGTAAAATATAAGGATAATGATGATGATGCGTGAGAAAACATTGTAGGCCTGTAGATGCAAGTAACCAGGTTAAACGAACCATGGCAAATAGTTTTGTTTGTTTATTTGTTTTTTTTTACAGAAAATTGTAAATTGTGTTTCATCAGTAAAATCACAAGTTTATTAATGAATTTCTGATTTGAATTTCAGAATTTACCAGTAGGAGGTGTAAAGCATCCTGTTATCCTAGGGCCTGGCAGTAACTTACATTTTTCTGATATTTTGAGATTAATGAAAAAGAAGAGAACCTTCACAATAAATTGTATGTCTTAAAACAATTATCTCCATATTGATTAATGAATTAAATGGATCCTAAAGAAAAGCAAAACTAAAATTGGAATTGCTAGGCATTTTAGGAGCTGTGTATCCAAAATTCAAGGAATTTCATTATTGGATCCCTTTTTAAAAACAATTTTTATCATCAAAATGCATTACTTTTTATCAGTGGATCTTGCTTTAATATAAGACAAACTTTTATCACCAAAATGCATTTCTTTTTATCAGTGGATCTTGCTTTAATAAAAGACAAAGAGAAAATATTAGAGTGTTCTGGGAATGTTTTAGGAACTTCATAGATGTGGCATAAAAGATGCACATTCGCTTCCCATAAATACGAAAGACTGCAAGTATGCACTTCAAAGGAAGGCAAAAGACAACAAGCACATGATCTTTCACCCTAGTCCCCATTTTCCCTCTTAAATGTATACAGCTGTATAAGTGCTCTCTATGCACATGAGATTCCCTTTTCAACAACCTTGGTGATATTATTCTCTATGGAGTCCTAATGCATACCATCAAGTGCAAATTTAAGCACACTTGATGGCGGATCCCCTATCCTCCCTGTGCGCTATTGAAGGGGCGTTATGAATTTCAAGACAACCACACCGTTTTTTGTCGCACTCAGGTCGCCGTGGCAACCAAATTGATCCATATTATTGAAAGGAATAAGAATTTGTCTTCAATTTTTTTCTTTCCCTGCATGCCCAGGTTGGCGCGCTGTGGATTTTTGCATTTAAATGGAAATGGGTATTATCGTCTTGTATGCTTTCAAGGGAGACTTGGGTTTGTGAAGCTTTTAACAAGTGGCGGGTCGAGAGTATTCTCTTGGCAACCATGTACATGCATAGCAATGAAGGTTTGAATTACGGGATAAATGGGAGACTGTCTTTGAAAACCCATCTTGAATGCGCAGGCAGAAGAACAAAATGCAATATCTTTTAGGATGTATCTACAAAAGAACCTAGCTATCTTATTTGTATATATGTTTATCAAGAGTTTTTTTTTAAAACCACCACTAGTTTTAATCTTAATTTTTTAAACATTACTTTTTCTGTTTTATTATTAATGCGCAGGCAGAGCAAAGTGCAATATCTTTTAGGATGTATCTACAAAAGAACCTAGCCATCGCATTGTTATAAATGTATAGAGAGAGTTCTTAAACCACCACCATTTTAAATTTTAATATGAAACATTACTATTTCTGTGTTATTATTTAGAAAGGGATTAAGTTCATCAATGCACTGTAAACAAAGATATCTTGAAGTGGATATGAAATGAAATTGAGAGCTTTGAAAGGAAAAGAGAGAGCAAGGATTGTTAAGAATGGTCATTCTGTTTTATGAAATTTTAAAACCCTGTTGATAATTATTCATTGCTTACTTGATCTAAATACTACATATACCTTCTTTTGGAGGTATACTAAGTATTTGTTTTCAAACTATGTCGGTAATGTCAGTGATTCAATAGTTTGCAATAGATTCCTGAATACTCCCCCTACCCCTATAAATAGAAAAAATCAACTTAGCAATTCAATCTAAAAGAAAAGAGGTTTGTTTTAGTGGTTATGTTAAGATGAATTTCAATATCTACATAGATATTTGTCTGGCACTACATCACAGTGACATTACCAATTCTCACAGTTTGAAGCTCCCGTACATAGAGCAATCACAACTTTCAAAAATTCACAACTTCTAATTTTTTTGTCAGATTTTGTTCAAACTTTTGCCAGTCTGCTTCTCTGATTTTTCAGCTGTCTTTTAGAGTCATTTGCTCTTAAGGTTGGATTTCCCTTTGAACACAAATTTAATGCACTTCTGGCGCTGAACAGACGTTATGTTACATTATAGCAGGACAAGCCTTCAGACAATTATATATCTCGTGTTCAGAGGAGATGAGTTAACATCCTTCTGGCTCCAAGCAGATGGTATATAGCCTATCATCAGACCGAAGTTGCAAAATGACCCGCTTTTTTTCAGCTCGGGATATTTTCCCAAAGCTCGACATGCTCATCACAAAGTAGCTCGTACGGGCGCAAATTAGCCTGCTATTTCCCAAATAGAAGGCTATTCAGGAAACAAGACCAAAATTTCTCTGGATATTTTCTCGACCAAATAGCCCGCTTATTGCAACTGCAGGCTAATGAAGACTCAAATTAGCTGACTAATTTGAGATCGGGCTAGTTAAAATAGCGGGTTATTTTGCAACTTCAGTCTGATGAAGACGGGCCTTATGAAACTAGCAGGTGCTTTTCAAAATGACTTTATTAAGTACATGTGTACATTTCATGTTCTTATTTTCCAGACGGACCTAATCCTATACTTATTGAGCAACAGAACAGGGCTTCTGGCAAGCATAGATGGACTAGCGGGGGCCTGTCATAATGTTCCCAAGACGGGTATTACGGGGTAAGTAGCTATACGCTTAACCTCCAGAGCTTCTTTATTTCTGTTTATATGCATTTCAAGGTAATCTGGTAATTTCAATTTATCATTGGTGTGATTGCCAAACCATTTCTATAGAAATGTTTATGGTGGAGAAATAAAGATGGCAAAAGATATTCAGTAAAGCTTGATATAAACAATTATTTGAGTTAAAGATTAAGTGGAGTTCTGTTAATAGAAGTTAAAAGAAAATAAATTCTCACAGAATCCAACAAAAATTTTACTGAATGTTCATAAGATCATAGCTAAATAACATGTGCAAAACGATTTTGTTAGAAAATGCAAATGTATAGGGATTAGGGGCTGAGTAATGAGTATAGGAAGATAAGGAAATTAAGCATTCATTTGATTTTTTTTCTTAGGGTATGTCTGGATCAGAGGCAGGGGGATATTCTACACACCTTGGCTGAAGATGATCCTGTATGTGGCCTCCTACAGGGGGCCAGTCTACCCCTCTCTGAGAACAAAAGAGGTAAGTGGTATATAGAACTCCTCTCCGCTATGTCTCGGCGCATGTCATCTACCCAGCTATGGCATCACCATCAAGAATTACAATGCTTATAAAGACTCATAGAAATTAATCACAGTTTGACAAACTGACTAAGAACGTTGAATTTGTGAGACATTCTGTAGCAATTAACCAAAATGAGTGCCCAGCAGAGGCAGATACTGGCACTATACAAGAAGCCATCATCATTATCATCATCATCATCATCATCATCACCATCATCATTATCGTCAGTTTGATGAAGCACAAAAATAATAAAGAAAACAAAAAATGGACAAATAAACACTTCTCAAATTAGCCTGCTATTTCCCAAATAGCAGGATATTTTGGAAACAAGACCAAGATATCTCAGGATATTTTCTAGACCAAATATCCCGCTAATTGCAACTGCGGGCTGATGAAGATGCAAATTAGCTGGATAATTTGCGATCGGGATAGTTAAAGTAGCGGGTCATTTGGCAAACTCGAGCTGATGAGGACAGGCCTAAAGTAATATAATACAGTTGTTGCAATTCCACCCCTGTCCACCCCAATGCAACATGAGCCTTTTGCCCATGAATTGACGGCATTTCAAGAACCTTTCAAGGAAATAGAAATGGAAATGTAAATGGAAATATTGCTAATACATTATGTCAGGGCTGCTTGCTTGTATGTCACATCAGATGTTAGGGTTGCTGTTGATAGAGAGTGAGAGAGACAGAGACAGACACAGACAGACAGACACAGACAGACAGACAGACAGACAGACATAGAGAGAGAGAGAGAAAGGAAGAGACAGAGAGAGATAGAGAGAGAGACAGAGACAGAGACAGACAGACACAGAGAGAAAGGGTGAGGTAGATGGGGAGACTGATAAAAACATTGAATTAGATAGAGATAACAAGTGTTTAGAAGATCTCAAATATCAAGAATTTGAAGATTCAAGCAGTATTCACAATTCAAAATTTCTCAGCTTTTATAATACCGGGGGTAACTCAAACTGAATATCAAAGTTAAACTAACTTTGCTCTAATAGACTTGGCGTACAATGTAAAGTATCATGACTTTCCTAATACCCTAAACTTGATGTATCTTGACTATTAAAAAAGGGCAGAGATGGATCCAAAATAAATGCTTTAGCTAGATCGAGAACTAATTAGCTAGGTGAATTGAGTCGTTCAAAATTTAGTAAGAAGTTGTAACAGTTCACAGATCCATAGTATGCCAATAGAAAGAGATCAATGGTGAAAGATTTCTAGCACAATTCTGCTCACGCTCCCGTCCTCGTGGAGAGAGAGAGAGAGAGAGGGAACAATTGCATTTTTCTGAATTTTAAGAAGCGTCAACTACCAGGTCTCATAACTGTCAAGAAAAACATGTGGATGCGTGCCCAAGGAGAGGAAAAACAAGTCAGATTACCCATGTAATTCCTTCCACTTTGCATCCGGTTTTTAAAACCCATCATACATTATACATTCCCCCCTAGAGCCATTTTTTCGCCTAGCTCACAATAAATTGAGCAGTACCCTGGTACGTCTACAATGCCTGGTCGCACTCTCTTTCTTTCTATCTCGTCTTCAAAATGCAGAGTTTTTGGTTGTTGTTCTTGCTTTGTCGTGTATTGACGGTGTTTTGAACAAGATAGTGAGACTTAGAAGAAGAAAAAAACATCCCAAAATGACAATTGGAGAATCTTGCTTGAAGTTGTTTCTGTGAAACACTTCAAAAGGATATTGCAATTTTTCTTGCGGTTACTGGAGATCCAGGGAAGTTTCTTTTTCTTGATACCCATTTCTCTTCCTTTTCTTTCATGGTTAGTTGCTGTTCTGTCTAAATCCTAAAATGCACCATGAGTTTCCTGAAGCTTGAAGAAAAAAAATGACAAGTTTTCTTAAAGGCATCGCTTAACAATGTTAAATCTGAGATGCATGGCCCTACGTGTTATCAGTGTCTGTGATATGGTGTAATATTGAAGCCCTAAAAAAATGATCCTGAAGTGCCTCAAAAAAGTAAAAAAATTTGAGTGACCGGTTTTACCATACTCGTTTCCTCAATAGACTGTGGTGTTATGAAAACTGTTAGGAAAACGCAAAATTTGATTTCAATTTCCAATCAAAAATATCTTGATAATCGGACAGGCGATTGGCTTGTAAAAGTCATGGGTTCCTGACTGAGCTAAAGGTTTATAATTATCATTGCAGCATGAGCTAAATCCAGGATTTTGTTTCAGAATCTGAGACAAAGTTACCCAATCCCTTTAAGGCTCGTTCAGATAAGAGGCAGTAAACCATATTTTTTCTCTCAAAATGTGTAAATGAATGTCAACTGCACTACATAACTTTGCTTCTGTATATTAAAAAGACTGACTGGTTTTATTCTGATAGGGGTTACTTTCTGAGTCTTTCAGGTCTACGATACCGTTAAAGGGCCACTACAATAAAACAGTATTAAAATTGAGAAAAAAAGACATGTAGAAGAGTTTTAGAAGGAGATTCCCAATATGACAATGTTTTTTCTTAGAAATCATCAATATTTCTGAAATTCAACTTTAAAAATGGATTATGCTACTGTAAGTTTTGCACAATTTCAAAAGGTACTGGACAAGGCTGAAATGGCTCAACATTGATTTCTTGAAAGTCTCTATACTAGGATCGTGGTTAGTGTAGGCCTTTGCCAAAAAAAAATTAATTTCTGCCAATGTTTTGGGAAATTCTGAAAATTGGCTCGATAGTGATTGTTTACAAATTTTATATATTTGGACGTCCCTGTGTATGTATTATAAGCACTAGAAAAAAACTCTTCTGCTTTCCAGAAAAATTGAATATAAAAATTAACCGGTGCTCCCGGTAAATTCTAATAAATTTCAAATAGGGCCTACGGCCATACAATGGTAGCTGCGACCATGAAAATTTCAGAATATGTAGTTGTGATATATAATTTCCAAACGGGAATAGCCAATCGGTCAGTTTTAGTCAAGAAACATTGTTTTATAGCAAAATTAATATCTTGACCTTAAGAGGGAGCTATACAACATAAAGAGTTTTTTATTTACAATTTCATCACTTTAGACTCCATTTCAACCGCGACAATGATCACTGAATATAATGTGATCGCATATGCTTCCAATATGTTCATTTGAACCAAAATCATGACCCTGTACCAAAACTTTGTATTACTTTTAAAAACCCGCTAAGGTGGAACAAATTTAGGGTGAGATGCACCTTAGAGATCAAAACAACCTTGATCTCAGCTTCTCCAGAAAGATGTAAGAGGTCCTTCAATCCCCCCCTCTCTCTTTCTCTATCTTTCCTTTTTCTTTGCGCTTCCCTGATGATGCCAGGTAATGTGACAGAAGTTGACGAGTAACGTCCGCCAGAGGTTATGTTACCTTGTCCATATTATTGTCGCTTTGCTGGATTCACAACTTTATACAAATTTTCTTAGGAGGAACGTTGGATTGCATAAATACCGGAAAGAAATCCAATGAATCTCCTTTCCTTCATGATAAAAGGATGAAGAAAACAAAGATTAAATATGTGTAAAATAATGGTATCCAACTATCCATGAGGCTGTTCACACCGCAATGAGATCTATCGTAGCACCCCCTTTTTTCTAGCGCGCTAGACCGCGCTCTCTCTCGTGGACCACCCCCAAGAGGTGCTCCAGTGGCACGCCGTTTTGGCTCGCCGTGGCTCGCTGTTGGGCGGACCGAAACGACGTTGTACCTTCCACATCGCAGAGATAGCGCGGTCTAGCGCGCGCTATCTCTGTCGGTGTGAACAGCCTCCATGAAGTTGTTTTTTCAGCCTAATTAGGGGCTGATCCTACACATATAATGTACATGTATGTCACCAGTAAAAAAAAAGGCGTAAAACAGCGCCCTGTTTCATTAAACTTGTTATCAATCACAAGTTACAAGCTGCTGTTATAAGCTACAGAAATCATGGCATCTGATTGGCTGAGAGCAAATTTGTCATAGAAATTTAGCAGTTGTTATAGATAACAAGTTTTATGAAACAGGGCCAAGGTCCTGTGAAGATTATGCGGGATATCAAATCTGTGTACTGTTATAGTACACACATGCTTGAAAAAGGAACCCTTGGTGCACACTTAATGAAATACAAGCATGGTAACAAGCATTGCAAAGTAACACAAATTACAATTTAGGAAGCTAAGAAGCAAGCAAGGATTATGACTACAGATATACATGTAGCATTAAGAAAAAAATATATAGTTCAAGAAAATAAGATTAAAACAATTTTCATAACATTAAAGGTATTACAAAGTTTTGAAAAATTTTGAAAAATGGGTGAATGTGATTCTTTACCAATTTGATAAATTTGGATCCCCCTGTGGATGTATTAAAAACACCAGAAATTTTAGCCCCTAAAACACTTCTGTTTTCGAGAAAAATTGAATATAAAGATTTACCGGTGCTCCCGGTAAATTCATGACCCCATACCAAAACTTTGTATTACCTTTAATGGTACACTTTTTCTTTTGCAATATTTTCCAGTTTTTTAAAAGTTTCTGGCTGATGAACTTGAACTCATTTCCTTGGGAAGAGCTTTCCAGGCATGTAGGGCAGCAACAAAGAATGACCGATTGCCCCTCTTGTTGCTCAACAATGCTTTAAGTCTTCTGTACCAACTTTCTAAGATCCAATCAGATAAACATGAACTGCAGACCGATTTGACCGTCTAAAATAGTTAGAATTGATAATGTGGGACTGGTCCTTTAGAGTAGAGTTTTACCTTGGTTGTATAAAGTCTTGTACAGATGAATATGTTCAATTTATTTGTTCTCTTAAACTTTCTTACTAGATTTGTTTTATTTATCTTTCTTTTTGTTGTTTCTATTTTGTTTCTTCATATTTTAAGTTGCCTTGTGTATATCATAATGATTTCTATCCATTACTCCATGTTCCGGTTGAGAATCTTTGTTGTATATCCTGTCTTTACATTCTGACCCCTTTCCCCTTGATT